AATGGCGAGGGTATGTGATAAACATAACAAGAAATATTGAAAGGAAAAACGTAATAGGAACTTTCTTTAAAAAATTAGAGATTCATGGTTTAAAGAATTTTATATAAAATCATTCAATTTGAGCATATTGGGATTTTAGAGTAATGTATCGTACTGATATATTTATCAAATAAATATGCATGATTATTTTGATGGCTTGCAAAAATTTTTCAAATATTGAATAATAAATTTAAAATATGATTATTTGAAAATTTCTATTTTAAATTTTGTCTTCAAAAAGAATTATTGTTCGTTCAATTTATTATCTTGTGTGTTTAAAATAAGTTCATCAAGATCCAAGGACTATCAATCGAAATTAATGATCCGCAGAGAAAAGCCCCGGCCAGAGAAATCCCGCACGAAGGAAAGAATATAAGTCATCATGTTTTTTCATCGAATATGCAATATAATTGCGACTTGGAATAGAGATGATCATTAACCGATGCACTTTGCAACAACCAGAAAGACATAATAAAAGAATTGTAAATCAAATCAACAAACGCCATCTACAATTATTCCGCCTCGCATAATTTTAATATCAACTATGTAAAATACACCTCTTATATAATACCCGGGTACTAACTTGGATTTTAGCTGTGGAATGTATCGTATCCGGGTACTATAGTCCGCGCTGTACAGTAATTGATCTGCGCGTTATTTCGAGTTAGTGATCCGAATCGTTTAGTTGAAATTCAACTAGTTTACAACTTTCCAACTAATCGATTTAGAAAATTTTAAAACAACTAACCGATTTAATTATCAACTAGTTCAATTCCGAGATATTACGTCTAGTCGGGCTATCCGTGTTGATTTCTTTAGTTTGATTGGCTAATCGACGAATTTAGTCGCATATATAAAAAATCGATTAGTTGCAACTATAGTTTGCAACTAATCGATTGGCAAAATTTTTACCAACTAGTAACGCTATTTCGAGTTCGTACGTCCATGTGCACTATATCGAAATAAGAGGTGAACCTGATGATTTACTTTAAATATTTAGACTAAAATGCAGAGACCCCTGACACATTTACCCGGCTAGCAGTTATTGCAGACCGGGTATAGTCACTAGTTATATTGGGATGCGCGTTAATTCGAGACGCCCATCAGCGCTAACTCGAGACCACGTATTATTGTTGAGTAACATGATTCTCAAAATAACGCATTATTTCGCGCCTATGCGATAATCTTTTTTACAACTAAGAGGAGAGATAAAGATTTTTATTTCTATATTATACTGTATCATCGCGAAATAACACCCCGGAGGCATTATTTCGAGATGCAGAATTTCCAGCGAGTTAAAAATTAATTTTGACGAATAGATCAAATAATTTTATTTTTTTAAAAATCGTCAAAATTAAATTTTAGATCTCTGGAAATTCTGTGTCTTGAAATAACGCTCCAGGGCATTATTTCGCGATGACGTAGTAATTTAAAAATATTATATAAATAAGATTAAGCCATGCAAAATTAATTAATTGGTTTTCATAACCCAGCAGGGTCAAAATTTGAAAACTTGTAAAAAATTTTTTTATATGTTTTAATAACCGGGTGAGTTTGTAAAAAAATTTATAAAGTTGTTGGAATTAAGCGAGACCCTATACTTCACGAAATCAAAAAAAAATTATTGAATCTAAAGACTTAAAGAAAGACACTGCACTTCACGCAATCAAAAAACTATTGAAGATAACGACCAAAAAAATGAAGCCACTTCTGAAGACGAAGGTAAAAACCCAAATGAAGTCACTGCAGAGAAATGGGACTATGACAATATGGCACCGGTTGAAAATTAATCAATTATAAATTTTGTATAAATGATAATAAATTGAAATTAATTAAACATATCGATTCAGTATTATAGTACGATAATTATTCCTGATTTTTGCACGATTTTGTGGGTTTTTACATTTTAAGAGCCTTTTATGCAATTTTATGAAAATTGTCCTAAATGCCTGGAGCGAAGCGGAGGACACTCTGATACTATATAAACAAATTTATGTACATATAGTATACTAGAAAAACAGAATTCAAATAAGCATCTTAATCTACATTGTAATTACTATATACATCAAGAATTATTTCTAAAGCATATCTTAGCAATTTCATCTTTCAAAATTTTCAAATCTTGTTCTCTTGACAATCTGTGATCTCCATCAGGTATCAATACAACCTTGACATTTTCTCTTGCATTTTCATCAGGGGACAACATCCTTGCCCATTTTAAAGTATCATGATACGAGACATCATTATCATCTTGTCCATGTATAAACGTAATAGGACATGAGATATTCTTAACATCAATAATTTCTTTGTGTAAATAATGTTTTCGAGACTCCTGAAGAAAATGTAATGAAATCGGATAGCTTCCAGATTCAGAATATTTTGATGGTCGATTATATATAATTTCTGTAGGTGTATTTTTTTGACAAGTTTGTCAATAATCCAAGGTCATCAACTTCTTTCCAAATTTTTTCAGTGAAATTAATCGAAGGAGCCACACCAATAATTCCATTTACTCTATTTCTTAAATCATTTCTTTTTAATAATACTAATAAAGCTAACCAAGCACCCATACTAGAACCAACTAAAATTTGAGGACCACAAGTTTCCTGTTTCATAAGTAAACACAAATCATTAAGCCATCTTCCTATGGTAACATTACCATCAGGATCATTTAAAAATGACCCAGTAGATAATCCATGAGCGTAATGATCAAATGTTAAAAAATCTAAACCAAATTCTTGACAAAATTTTGTTAAATGATTAATTTTACGGGAGTTTTGCATTTCTGAGTGAAATCCATTAATAAATATTACACCAGGTAATCGCTGTTTAATATTAGAATTATTGATTTTGTTATTTATGAATTTTTGAAAGGCCACATAATCATTTTGTGTTGTCATTAATCGACGAATGGTTGCCATGTTTCGATTTATGTCGATATTGAGGGAAAAAAGGTAATATATTGATATAGTATCGGTATGTAGTACTGTATATCAATATATATCGACATCGTGTTGTTACTTCCTTTTTAATTTAAACATGCCACTGTGTATAATAAAAAATCATATTTTTATTATCGGTATATATAACATTTCACAATAATTAATAACGATAAATTTATATACTTTTATCCGGTTAATCTTGTTATTAATATCGATATTAGATTGTCCAATTGATTTTTTACATTAACAGGTATTACAATATAATTTTAAGCTAAAAAGAATTTTAAAATTCAGATTTTAAATAAATCCTATTAACAACAATTATGGAAATAAAAATCCAATTTATAAAGAAATGAATAAAAAATATTATATTATATTAATTCAATTCTATCACCAAGATATAATGGCCAAGTTGTCCAATCTTCAGAATTTTTATAAAAAACCAACCTCCTTCCCAATCGATCATTAATTATAACTTTTTTAAGTGTTTTGCTTTCCTTTGCAAATTGAGTAATAAAACCAACCTGTTCATCATCGACACCCAATATACCGAATACAATTAATGTTTGTATAGGTGCTCGACATTTTTTAAGAAAATATTCTAAATTCCAAGGTGTATTTTGAAAGTATAATTTAAGATTAAATAAAGTGGTAGGAAGAACAACAGGCAACGATATTAAGAAATCACTCGTATCATAAATTAAAAAATTAACCGATAAACGTTCCAATTGAACTAATTTTGATAATAAAATCAAGAATTGATTGGTAGAAGACGTTTTGATATCAATTTCTAGGATTTTAATGTTTGGGCAAAACTTTGTGATGGATTCTATTATTTTCGGAGAAGAACTATTCATGAATAGTTCTTTTAAATGACAATTAGCAGTCTCAATTGCAGATTCCAAAAATTCTTGAGTTGTTTCACATTTTCTGACATATAAAATTTGAATTCAGCTTTCTTCAAAGGCATCCAAGTGAAGGAAGTTAATCCTTTACAACTAATGAAGGATAAGGTTTGCAAATTTTTACATGATGCTAGAGCATCAAGAGCAATACCAATAAATTGAACGTGTGAAAATTCTACGCGAATCAAAGAGTCTGATTGATATTGCAAGGCTGATATAGCAGGAGCGATGTTACCAGAACAATCTAATTTAAAGCATTGTAAATTAGTTTGTGATTGTATAAGATTCACAAGGTGCATGTCCATAACTTGTAAGCGAATATTTAATTCTCTAAGTTTTTTACATAAACTAGGTAAAGTTGCAACAAGGGTAACCAAGTTCTTAAAACGAGTAGATTCAGTTGTGTAAGAAAGATTAAGATTAAGTACACGCAATTGAGATAATAGATTAGGATTAAGGGTAAAGATAGAAGGAGATGGAATGTCAAATATGGAAGGTTTCCTCCAGAAAGTCAGTTGAGTAAATTCTAAATCTTGACGAAAAAATAATTTGCATAAAACTTCTGAAAGTAAAATTCTTTTATCAACATCAATAATTAAACGATTCTTATCTTTTGATTGACTTTTTGAATGAAAGAACCAGTTTTTAACGAATATATCCAATCCTAAGTTATCGAATACTTTTAAATAGGATGGATAATTAAATAATGGATTCGCAGTATCAATAGACACATCGATTCCACTCTCTTCAAGTAAAGATTTTTCGGTATCATCCATACAAGAAATATAGGTATTTATTATAGATATAGATCTATATTCATCTAACCGGTTGGATAAGGAAAAAGGAGCACGCCATAATAAATTGACAACATGTTGACACCAAATTCTATTAACTAATAAACATGAGTGTAAAAATTTCGTATGATGGTTATCATGGCATAAGTAGGAAAAAACGTGGTCGAGTATTTCAGGAGGTAAAGAACCAGGTACAAGATTCGTTTCTTTGATAGAAGATGTCATTGTTTTAGTTTTAGTTCTAACTTACGCTAACTTCAACTTTAATGCAGTAATGTTAGGAAACAAAAAAAAAAATTGATAAGCATTCAATCTGTGATGCACTTTATATTTTGATCACGTACCATTTTGTGCGACCAACTATTAACGATGACAAACATCCTAATGCAGTAATGCAGAGTTAACATTTATGTTTACACTGGCATTACCGCTAACATTCAACGGGCCGGCCCGTTGAGTCAACTCATCTGAGCATACAGTATTCTACATTTATGTATACGTAGTGTTCTCCAATCACACTCACATGAATTGGCCCAACATTAAATTCGTAATTCTGTAATTGCGTATTAAGATCAATTGAAAAGTCCCTTACTTTTGCGTGTAACGGTAACATATTCTGCTATAAGTCTTTTTAATAAGAAAATAACTTTATGCTAGCTCCATGATATTATAATTTATCGCACCTTTGTACTATATTACAATATTTACGTATCTCTAGGTATCTTTTTTAGTAATAAGCCTACTACCTTAACGATTAATAGATTTTTGTCGATTCTTGTCTCATTGAGCCTGGACAATAAGTTTTAAAACTCATTGTCCAGGCCCAATGATCTGCAAATTGACCAGAATTAAACCAAATTTGGTAATGTTGAAGGTCATAGTTATACCCGGAACCGAACCGTAACCTGTCCACGGTTCGGTTCCGGTCTATAATTTTTCAGAACCGACCAATTTCGGGGTTTAGCCAGCGGTATAGATGCAAACTTATTTACGTCATTAGTTACGGCTCAATTGCGGTTTATTTTTATAAATCGATTTTTATATAGGACGTAACTAGGTGATGTCATAAGTCTGCATCTATAGTCAGCGGGTACCGCATAACTCACTACGTTACAGCTATTATCATTATTTCTGGGCACCTGAAGAACCTAACTTCTCGGAGAGTTAGGTAATTTACCGAATGAAATAGGATATTTCGGTCATCTGAAAATTCTTCAGGTGTCCCAGAAATAATCGGACGATCTATGGACCGTTCTTAGGGACAGGTTAAATCACGTGAATAGCTAGTTAGGGACAGTTAAGGTTAGTGGTTTTAGCAATATCACGTGAATTTGACTGTCCGCGAGGCAAAACTTACATTTTTGATACTCTTGCACTTACTTTTTTGATACACCTAAACATACCCTAAAATTTTATTACTTTTTATTAAAGTTTTATTATAAAAACATACAGTCCTATTGGTTAGTTTTAGGGTATGTTTAGGTTTATCAAAAAAGTAAGTGCAAAAGTATCAAAAAC